ATTGCAGGAGCACCTCACAAATCACAATCAATCCAAACCCTCCTAAATGCCCAATTTAAACTTTTGTAGGGTTTTTGATGATCACACATCCGGCACATGTCTTTGGGCTCCTCTCTCATTCTCTTTGCGTTCCTCGTCAATTCTCTCTTCTGTTTCGGCTTTTCGAGCTGAAAATCCTAATACCCAGTTTGGTGGCCGAGAAATTTTAGGAATGAGAGAAAGAAAGTTAAGAACTTTGAATATTTGTTCTGGGTTTTCTTGAAAATTAAATTCCAGAGCGAGGCAAGGGTAGGCTTTCCATCACGGATGAATATTTGATAGCTGATATACCACTCTCTTGACTCGGTTGACGTGAGGTGTACTTTACAGCACGAAGCTTAAGATTCAAAAATTTTGTTTTCTTTTTAACTTTCCTTGGTTTTCTCGGCAGCCAAACGCAGGGGATATCGTTTGGGTTTTCTCAATTGAAGAAAAATGGCATCTGCTCAAGGGCTTGCTTCGTTGACCCATTCGTTATTTGCAGTTAAACGGCAGCGTTTTATGGGTCTCCGTGGTTTCTCAGCGCAATCCTGTGCTAGGGTTTTTCCTAGAATCTGCAAGCACCAAAAACCCAACTTCATCGTTGCGAAGTCGAGTAAAGTTCGAGACTTTAGGCTGTTCAAATCTGTTGAATTGGACCAGTTCCTGACTAGCGACGACGAGGATGAAATGGGTGAAGGTTTCTTTGAGGCGATTGAAGAATTGGAGCGAATGACAAGGGAACCCTCCGATGTTCTTGAGGAAATGAACGACCGGTTATCGGCCAGAGAGTTACAGCTTGTGTTAGTCTACTTTTCTCAGGAGGGTAGGGACTCATGGTGTGCGCTTGAGGTGTTTGAGTGGCTCCGAAAGGAGAACCGGGTCGATAAGGAGACGATGGATCTTATGGTTTCCATAATGTGTAGTTGGGTCAAGAAATTGATTCAGGGGGAGCACGACATTGGGGATGTGGTTGACCTTCTTGTGGACATGGATTGTGTGGGTTTGAAGCCAAGTTTTAGCATGATGGAGAAGGTGATTTCTTTGTATTGGGAGATGGGTGAGAAGGAGAAGGCGGTTCTGTTTGTAAAAGAGGTGTTGAGACGTGGAATTGTGTATTCGGAGGACGACGATACAGATGGGCATAAAGGAGGGCCAACTGGCTATCTTGCTTGGAAGATGATGGTAAGTGCTTGTTCAGTACTGTTCTCAATATTATGCTATTGAATTGTCAAATGTATTAATCTTCCGTTACTAATTTAAATGCTGCTTAATTTGCGTTGTCCACGCTTAACTTTTAGTGATATAATTTTCGGGTTGGGATCACTTTGGCTTTGAGTTGAATTTACCTTGTCCACACTGAAATTTTAGGACGGTGTGTCCAGTTTTGAAGAATTTGGCGGCTCTTTTCACTCACAGTGCTAATGTTGTTAACAGATTATATAGATCAATGTTGTTAACAGATTATATAGATCAATGTTGTTAACAGATTATATAGATCAAAAGGATAATAGTTCAATTCTCCAACCTGTTATGTGTCATCGGATTATACCCAATGGATACAACTTGTCAATGATTACTGCTACTATTGGTTAGTTAACCGAACATATCTAGGTAGAAAGGACAACTGTTAGCACTAGTTTGGGTTTGTAAAGTTGGTTCTGAAATCTTTAGAGTTTCCTAAGTTTATGTGAATGAAACTATTGAATGTGTTTCTGCAGGTTGAGGGCAACTATAGGGATTCAGTGAAGTTGGTGATTCATCTAAGAGAATCTGGGTTGAAGCCAGAGGTCTACAGCTACCTCATTGCAATGACAGCTGTGGTTAAGGAACTAAATGAACTTGCTAAAGCTTTGCGCAAGTTGAAAGGTTTTACAAGGGCTGGGCTGATAGCTGAATTTGATACAGAAAATGTTGGGCTTATCGAGAAGTATCAGTCAGATCTTCTATCTGATGGAGTACAGTTGTCCAATTGGGTGATTCAGGAGGGAAGTTCTTCACTCCATGGGGTGGTTCATGAGAGGCTCCTGGCAATGTATATCTGCTCTGGGCGTGGACTTGAGGCCGAGAGGCAGTTGTGGGAAATGAAACTTGTTGGTAAAGAGGCTGATGCGGGACTTTATGACATTGTTTTAGCCATCTGTGCTTCCCAAAAGGAGGCCAGTGCTATAGGACGGTTGCTTACGAGAACAGAGGTTACCAGCTCTCTGCGTAAAAAGAAAAGCCTATCATGGTTGCTAAGAGGGTACATTAAAGGGGGACATTTTGATGATGCTGCAGAAACAGTAATAAAAATGCTTGATTTGGGTTTGTGCCCAGAGTTTTTAGACAGGGCAGCTGTGCTGCAAGGGCTAAGGAAAAGCATCCAAGAATCTGGTGGTGTAGATACTTACCTCAAACTTTGCAAGCGCCTCTCAGATGCCAGTTTGATTGGACCTTGTCTTGTATATCTGTTTATAAGGAAATATAAGCTTTGGATCATAAAAATGCTTTAAAGCACTTTGGGTGGAAGTTCTGAGAATTTAAAAGTATAGTTTTGTTGGTCAACATTTTATAGCACAGGAACCTAACTCCTGCTTGATTTTTACATGTTAATTTTGTATAGTTATGGATGGCTACAAGATTTGGCACGACCAAATCCTAGAGGCAGGTTAACTGTGTTGTGCAAAAATTGTTCTTGAATGTTTTGTTCCTGGGGATCTTTCACTTGTGTATATGGTGGCTGCTGTGAAACATAATAATGAAGTTTCAACACTATGTAATTAAGTAGACTTCATATAAATGCAACAGGTATGTTTCTGCGGTTTCTCGATTTGTTCTGGATTTATAAGTTCAAACTTCTCATGCATCTGTGTCCTTGACTTGCAGTTTGATCATGAAATTGATTTATCGATAATGTGTTTAACAGTTCTTACGTCTGCGCCTACATCTGTTGTATGCTTGTGTGCATGACTAAATACAACTATGCTCTCTCCAGGGGCCAAATTTATGACTAACCATTTAAACATTCCCAATAACTACCAATATTATTCCTAGTTCTACTGATTTCATCTCTTCCTTTTGATTCCAACTCCTCCTTGAACTTTATTATGCTTTCGATGGTCGCATCGCGAACCGATCAGGAATGGTTGGTTTGCTTCTTCAGTCGGCTGGCCTTTTGTTTCTTTCATAGCAGCACATATCCTGGGGTGCATACTGGAGCTGGTGTTGTTTTATTTTATTTCCTCTAATTATTGTCTTTATAGCCAGTCATTTTTAATGCTTAATTATATAAGTATAAAATTTGTAAGGAACCATTATCGTGTGGGTACCATCTATCTTCTTCACGTGTGAATTATGTGATGAGTTATGAAGTTGATAATTGTATGTCGTTTGTAATGCCTGCTGATATGGGAGCCGTATGGCTGGAAATCCATTCATGCTGTTTGCTAATTATCTCAAACATGTCCGATGCATTAATGCCCTTCTTCTTTCAGCCACATCTATTTTCCAATCTAATCTGAATTCATTTATTTGTATCCGGCGCCATCTTGTTTGACCTTATTCCTTTGAACTTGTGATAACATGACCGAAAATATTGTTGAACTTGTGATGCCTCCTAAACATTTGATTAACATGAGTTGTGCTACGGTTAGTCGCTCACACACTCACCGTTGATGTATACATTCCATTGACGGTCAAAAAGCACCAACGTGGGGGAGGGAGATTGACCTTATCAAATTCTTAGACGGAGAAATTTAAATGTTTCACAAGTACATATTGATTTGGCAGACAATACTATCACTTACACAAGTTAGTGCAAACTGGCCTGCTGCCAAAAACTGGTGAGAAACAATGGCACTTTCAGAACACTCACATGGGTCTTTTAGACGCTTAGCCTTGTAAGCACGTGATCATATTTCTTGGCTCTTTTCTATACACTGTGATCTGGTTGGCCTATATTATTTGGTTTCCCTTCTGCCTTCTTATTATTTGTTGTGCTAGCATAATTCTTGTTTTTATTTATTTTTATTTTAGATAGGCTTGCAAGTTGCTGTGTTGTCGTAGACACAGATGCTCAACTAACTTCCAATAATTTTTTGCCATTCAATATTTAAAGGTATGAGTAAGCTAGTGGCAGGAGAAAGACCACATAGTTTAAATGATATGATTTATGAAAAGCAGAAAAAAGAAGAAAGAAGAAGAAGTGTATTTTAGATCTAATGTCTTCCTAACCCATTAATAATTTATTAATTTGGTCTATTCTCCCCTGCTTTATTTATTAATATTGATAAGTAATAGCTCCTTGTTGTGATAATTCATGCATAATATAAACAAGCTAAAAGTTGGGATTTTTGTAGGGTGGTGCCTTATGGTCCTTCAAAACCAACTTGTAGGACCATGTTTGATTTTGACATTTCACCATGGCACCAAACTATTCATTTTATTTGAGGGTTTTCTCATCCCTACAACTTGAAAGTGAAGCTTTTAAAACAGAAACTATGCACAAAATGCTTTTGCAGTCTGCTTCTGCAAGTAGTCCTCAACTAAAAGAAACCATCAAATTGCAGTTCGTGATAGGATCAAATTCGTACTCGATCGGACTTTAATAACAATTACGCGAGATTTATGTTCATTAAGGTTCGATGCATTAATTGTGTTTAAGGAAAAGATTTCCCATGATAGAAATCAGAATTTAGTAAGTGTAACTAATTCACTTCTAATGTTGGTAAAGAAAGAAGTTCGCCTATTATAAGCATCTATTTGGTGCGGATGTGACGCATGAACTTTTGTAACTACATTTCTTTACAAGCTTACTCAATGCCAAGGACCTTTGCTTAACATGCAATTTCTCCTTAATCTTCTTTTTGTCGTTAATTAATTAGCAGTCAAGCTCAAGATAAGCTTAAATTGAAAATTAACCAGTTGACCAACGCATCTGGGCAGGCTAATTTTCCCATTTGGTAGATGACGTGGCAAGATTGGAGTGGTTAACAATGGTGGGTGATGAACTGACTCCGATAAACTCCTTGCTTTGGAGCTAGCCACCTAAACAACTAAACTTTCCGGTTAACCAAAACCCTTTGGAGCAGAGCGACAAAGACAGAGACAAAAGAGAAGGCTTTGCTGCTTTGCATAAAGAATATATCCACCCATGAAAGAAAAGAGAAAACCCAAAAGCAGAGACCATTTTCTTCCATTTTTATTCTCGAGAAACTAACCCCACCTTGGCCTGTAGCCTGCTTCACAGCCTCCCTCTCTCTTTCTCTCTGTGTTTCTCTGGGTGGTTTTTGCACGCCAGAGGTAAAGGCTCAACATTATTCTCTCTCTCTTGGTGGTGGTAAAGCTTGAAACTTTATAATCTTATTCTCTGTTTGTTCATATATGCAGAAGATTTATTGTCATTTAGATATGCGTGGTCTAAAGCTTTTAGACCGATTCACAAGTACCCAAGTCCACGCTCTCAATCCTACAGACACCTCCAATGGTAAAACCCATGTTGGTGTTTCAAGAGCTAAGCTTAACAGTCACCTGATTAAATCTTTTGGGTCAAATTCAAAGCCCAAAAGTTTCAACTCACTCTCTGTGACTGAAGCTCTTCTGCTGCCTTATGGACTTCCTGCAACTGACCTGCTTGAACCCTCCATAGAGCCTCACCTCAAGCCCGCTGAATTTGTTGAAATCTTAGCTGACCTCTATCACCGCTTAGAGAATTGCTCGTCTCAATCTGATAAATCTTTGTTATCTATTGAGCAGTATTCTCTCTTGCGCAGTCTTGGTGACCCCAAGCTGCTTCGCCGGTGTCTTCGTGCTGCTCGACAAAATGCTGTTGATGTAAACTCTAAGGTTGTGCTTTCGGCTTGGTTGAGGTTTGAGAGGAGGGAGGATGAGCTTGTGGGTATGTCAGCTATGGCTTGTAGTGGGCAAGTTCTTGAGTGTCCTAAGGTTGCTTTGGTAAATGGGTTTGATCCAAATTTGGTTTCTGGTCATTGCCAATGTGATCATGACCCCAGTAAAGCAGTCAATATGCTTATTTTTGAGGACAATGAGTGTGTGAGTTTGGAGGAGGAGGAGGAAAGTGATGTTTCATTTTGTATTGGCAATGTAGAAATCAATTGTGCAAGGAGTAAAATTGCATCGCTTTCTAGTCCTTTTGAGGCTATGTTGTATGGATGTTTCAAAGAATCGAAAAAGGGTAAGATTGATTTTTCGGAAAATGGGATATCTGTGAAGGGAATGAGAGCTGTGGAAATGTATAGTAGGACTAGGAGATTGGACTTGTTTAGTCCTGAGATTGTTGTGGAGTTACTTTCTTTTGCAAATAGGTTCTGTTGTGAGGAGATGAAGTCTGCTTGTGATGCTTATTTAGCTTCACTGGTTGATAACATTGATGATGCATTGGTTCTTATTGAGTATGGTTTGGAGGAGATGGCATATCTTCTTGTAGCTGCCTGCTTGCAGGTATTGCTGAGAGGGCTTCCCAGTTCTCTGTATAATCCGAAGGTGATGAAATTTCTTTGTAGCTCCAAGGTCAGGGAGAGATTGGCCATGGCAGGGCATGGATTCTTGTTGTATTATTTTCTAAGCCATGTGGCTATGGAGGAAAGTATGGTGTCTAAGACAACTGTGATGCTATTGGAGAGGTTGGAAGAATGTACAACCGAGAGGTGGCAGAAAACACTTGTGTTGCATCAATTGGGTTGTGTTTTGCTTGAGAGAAGAGAGTTTAAGGATGCCCAGTTTCGTTTTCTGGCTGCAGCTAAGGCAGGACATGTTTATTCAGTGGCTGGTGTTGCAAGGACCAAATACAAACAGGGGCAGCAGTATTCAGCATATACATTGATGAGCTCTATTATCTCCGAGTATAAACCTGCTGGGTGGATGTACCAGGAACGTGCCCTCTATAACATTGGGAAGGAGAAGATTTTGGATTTGAGCACTGCAACTGAATTAGATCCCACTCTATTATTTCCATATAAATATAGAGCTGTCGCAAAGGCGGAGGAGAAGCAAATTAGAGCAGCTATTTTGGAGATTGATAGAACTGTTAGGTTTAAGCTCTCACCTGACTGCATTGAATTACGGGCTTGGTTCTTCATCGCACTTGAAGATTATGAAAGTGCTCTCCGAGATATCCGTGTGTTACTAACTTTAGAACCCAATTACATGATGTTCCATGGAAAGGTTAGTGGGGATTACTTGGTTGAGCTTCTCAGCCATCGGGTTAAGCAATTGAGTCAAGCTGATTGCTGGATGCACCTATATGATCAGTGGTCGTCTGTTGATGACGTTGGATCTCTGGCAATCATACATCAGATGTTGGGACATAACCCTGGAAAGAGTCTCATTCAGTTTCGGCAATCTTTGCTTCTTTTACGGTATGTTTTCTGATCATAGCTATACTTTTCTGTGTTATCCAGCTACAATCTATGTGTAGTAAACTTTCCATTATCTTGCACTTACAACATTTCATCACATAGTCATGATATCTGGATTCTTTGGGAGCCTAATTTGATTGAAATGTTTACAGTTTTCCTTAAGATATGATATCAGACCACCTACCCCACATTTGAATTACTTCATATCAAACAGCAGTTGGTTTAATGAAATGTTTCTGCTGCTTTGTCAATAATAATTGAAATGTGCTGGCCATGTAGATCTGTGGCTTCTGGCATCTTTTCTCACACAAAAGCTTCCTGATAAATACGACTATTTTTAGGTTAAATTGTCAGAAGGCTGCAATGCGCAGTTTGCGGTTGGCAAGAAATAATTCTGGATCTGAGCATGAGAGGCTGGTCTATGAAGGATGGATTTTATATGACACTGGAAATCGTGAAGAAGCTCTCTCAAAGGCGGAAAAGTCAATTCACATTCAGAGGTCATTTGAAGCTTTTTTCCTTAAAGCATATGCATTGGCAGATACTAGCCTGGACTCTGAATCATCATCATATGTTATTCAACTGCTGGAGGAAGCTCTTAAATGTCCTTCAGATGGTCTTCGTAAAGGACAGGTGAGAATCATGAGTTATTCTTGCATTCTTCATCATTGTACCTTCATGTTCTTGTTTGATAGGGTATTCTGATATTTTGCAGGCACTAAATAACTTGGGGAGTATATATGTGGATTGTGGGAAGCTGGATAAGGCTGTGGACTGCTACATGAGTGCTCTTGACATCAAACATACAAGAGCTCATCAAGGGTTGGCACGTGTTTATCATCTTAAAAATCAACGAAAAGCCGCATATGATGAGATGACCAAGCTAATAGAGAAAGCACAAAACAATGCATCAGCTTACGAAAAACGGTCAGAGTACTGTGATCCCGATATGGCAAAGACTGATCTCAATATGGCAACACAATTGGATCCGTTGAGGACATACCCATACAGATACCGGGCAGCAGGTAATCTTTCTGATCCCTTACTTTAATTTCCTTTTTTCCCCAATTTTCTGCACGTCTGTTCTAAAAGAAATGGTTGAAACTCCAGTATTTTTAGTATAAACACACATCCATTCACTCATCTAGCTCTCTAAGTACCGAGAACAAGAAGCATTTTTCATTATCCTTTAGGTTAGAATTCAACTGCACTTGGTTTCACATGACTTAGAATCTGTTAGAGTGATGGAGAAAAAAGGGATAGCTTTTTATAGAAAACCAAACGGATATATAATGCTGAAGAAGAGAATTGCAATTGTCCCTTAGTAAAGGTAGTAGGAAGAGTTCTTTTACTTTTGTGAAACCGAAACAATGTACTAATGTATGGAATCGCATGAAACCAGTTCTGATGGATGAACAAAAGGAGTCTGAAGCTGTAGAAGAGCTTACAAGGGCCATTGCTTTCAAGCCTGACTTGCAAATACTTCATCTTCGAGCTGCATTTCATGAGTCAATTGGAGATGTAAGCTCTGCTCTCCAAGATTGTCAAGCAGCTCTCTGCATGGACCCCAACCACACAGACACTCTTGATTTGTATAATCGGGCACGGGACTGAGATGATATTTAACTTGTGTATATGCTGCTCATGACTCCAGTGTGTCGGAGACTTCATGGTTAGTGTTGAAGAGAGAAAATTACCCTGGTTTCCTTGTTCAAAAAAGTTTCCCAAAAATCACAATCTCTGACTGAAACCTGTCTGGCAATGGTCAAGACGAAAAGATGACCTAGGAAATGCTATGTACATATGGCACACATGATGATGATTGTTGAACTGCAAGCGGCAAGCAGTCATTTTGACCACACTAGTCAAAGGTGGTTATTCAAGAAAGAATGAAAGCAAATGTTCTTATAACTAGATAGGAGCATAGGTTGAAGATTAGAATTTTCTGTTGTAACTTTATTTTTTTCCAATCATAGTACCTTGAGAATTGTATGATGTCAATTGGTGAGGAAAGGGATCTCTATAGTTCCAGTGTACATTAACAGTCATTGAGGACATCCAAATATCTCAATTATTGTATATTTCAGATTTTCTTTTACATATGGAGGGGGCGCTTCTACCAAATAAAGGATCTTTGTTTTTTTCTTTCAGCACCTTTCATCCTTTCTTTCGATTTGTTTCTGTTTAATTTCACGGGCAAAAATATGCGTAAAATCTGCCGACTGATAGTTGCCCTTGAAAGGTTTTTAAGGTAACTTTTAGCTTCTTGAATTCTAGAAAATGGAGGAAAAAGTTGGGTGTTAGGTGTTGCAGGGGTTGTAAGGTTCAACTTGAAGATGAAACTATAAAACACTAAACAAAGAGACAACCAAACAGGAACCTTTACTGCTCAATGCTCAGAAAGTAAAAATTTTATTGATCTCAGAAGTATATTTCCATGTAAAAACGCTTAAAATTTCACTTTCTTAAGTTATTTACAACATCATTCCTCTTACTTCGATTAGAGACAGACAACACAATCATATCTATCCTACTTGCATCCTGCTGCTATAAATCAATAACAGAATCAGGTAAAAGAATAACGCACACAAATTATAATGAACGGACAAGACAATTAAATAGACTTTTATGATCAACTTCCTTCTGTTGACATAATTTCAAGTTCTGCCCACCAAAGAGGTGACAATTTTGGTATGGCTCCATCAGGGCCCATGGCTGTGATTTCTTTTAACCTGCCTGTGATCTCCGTCATTTTTGGTCTTTGTTTCGGGTCAGGATGGACACAATCCTTTATCACTTGAAACAATTCTCCTAGCTCTTCTTCTTGGAAAGATTTTAAGGTAGGATCAACTATTTCTCGTAAAGATTTATCCCCTTTCATATAGTGTGCTGCCCAGTCTACAAGAGAACCATTTTCCAGAGAGTATGGGATCCTACCGGTAATCATTTCGAACAATATAACCCCGAAGCTGTAGACATTGCTTTCTGGATCTGCAGACATATTTTCACGGAGCTTCTTGTCAGCAGATCCCATCTTTGCTGCAGTCACTTCATTCAAGAAGGTAAAATCTGATATTTTGGCTGCATAGTCTTCAGTCAGGTATACAGAGGATGATAGCAAGTTCTTCTGAGCTATTGGTGGAGTCAGTTGGTGCATATACTCTAGACAGTATGCCATTCCCATGGCTATCCGTAGTCTCATTCCCCAGTCCAAGTGCTCTGCTTCTTTTACTGCGAGACACAGAATTTTGACATTATCAAAACCGTTGAAAATGCATCAGTTACTGCAAATTTGATGCTCCATTATCTTAAATCATATGTTCCATTAGCATTTTTTTTTCTCCTGGAAAATAATGTGAGAACTATCTGTACTTTGAATTTATTTGAAATGTATGACTGCATGTGACAGAAGTATGATATGATCCTTCAACATTGCATATGCTTAAAGTGAAGTATCCAACTCATTTTGAGCTTTGGAAAGAACCCTGGATCTCAGTGCGAGCACGCACACACTTAGCCATTCCTTTTGAACTCATATAAGTTGGTCTCTGGTAATGCAACTTGATTATAGAAATGCTATATGAAGTTAGATCGATCAATTCATAAATTAACTTTCTTCACAACATAAAGAAGAAAGTACTCACTATGTAGATGCTCAAAGAGTGTTCCATTTGGAGCATATTCAAACACCATCATTCTTGTGAATGGTTTCTCTTCTTCACAATACCCAATAAGGTTTACAAAGTTCTTGTGGTTCACTTTGGACAATGTTTCTATCTGCAAAAACAAAAATGCATATTATTATAAATATAATATACATCAATAGAGGTAACTAGTAGGGACTTTTAGATGCATCAAATCAGATGGGAATTATTTCCTATGTACCTTCTTTCTGAACTGAGCCTCCAAGTTTTTAGACCAGTCTACAGCAGATGTCATAGTGATGCATGTCACTGCTATTTCAACCCCACTTGAAAGAGTTCCCTTATACACGTTGCCATCTGAAAAGGTTCCAATTATGTTACTGAAATCTTCACAAGCTGCCTCAAGTTCTGATCGGTTGAGCTTTGGTACACCTGAAACACGGTTCATCAAGCTGAGTACTTGAAACATGTATGGAATAAGAATCAAAGTTCCTACTTCTTTTCCTTTCTTATTTTCTTGTATATATGCAATCCATGCAGAGGGATTGAAAACTTTGCCCATGATTTTATCCAGGAGGGAAACCAATAAGCTAGACTCTAGAGGACAAAGAAAATAACCATTAAGCTAGTTAGATATGAAAAGAAGAGGAAACCTAAGACTCAATTTGTCCCAAGCCTACATCAATATCAGGGTCAACCTATAGTCTTGGAATGCTCTAAGTGGTGAGTAGTGAAAAAGTGGACCAAGGGTCTAACCACATTTCATATTTATTGCCTAAACATGCCATAAATTTTCTGAATATAAACATGCATAAGAGTTTATATTTATTTGTGCAGGGGCCTGAGAATTCTCACGAATCTGACCTGATACAAATGCTTTCTGCAACTGTCCACTTAACCCTGTGACCCAGGGTTTCACGGTAACAACTTTACTGCTTCGGACGAGAATAATGCCAATAACTGACATTAAAATGAACAAAGAACCGCCAACAATGCCTGCACAAATCATAACTACACGATGCCTTGACTTGGAAGAACTAGTCTTAACCCCTTGACTTGGACTTGAAGCAGGGGAAGGCATTGGTTCTTGATTGGACTGTGGTGCTGGAGCAATAGTAGTTGGTGGATTTATTGGGACTGGAGAGGCTGGAGTTGGTGCTACCAAAGGCGAGGGTGAAGGGGTCAGAAAGCTGCTTGAGGGAGATGCTGAAGGGGAATTTGACGATGGTGATGGTAAAGGGGAATTTGATGATGGTGATGAAAATAGTGAGGGTGGCATTGAGACTGAAAATGGTAATGGAGATGGTGAAGAAGGCTGATTAAGTGGTGGTGAGGAAGATGGTGAAGCTGATGTTGATAACAAACCGCGTTCATTTCCTTTAGCCCTTCTGACTCTGGATGACTCTTTCTCATCTGCCACCTGCTGCAGCCTGCGGTAAGCTGTATCTTCAGGTTGGGCAGTGCTCCTAACAAACAAAAAAAGGTCATCATGAACTGAATGAAGGAAATAATATGGTACAAGCTTACAAGGTATGAGAAAATTTATTGTTCCTAATGTTGCTTTCCATAGAAAAGTTGTACAATGCCGGAACATAAAGAACTTGTCTGAGCTTACTGAACAGAATCATCGGCATTATTGGAAATAAGGTGAGAATTAGAAATGAACTAATTATTACTAAGTTGGGTCTAAGCATATAATATTAGATCAGTTTCACTTTCTTACCAGCTGGTAGATCTGCTCATAGACAGTGTCAGGCAAGTAGCATCTGTTAGCTGATCCCGATCTTCCTGGCATTCAGAAAGCATCTTCAGCTCATGGAGTTGAGGAGATATGCAACCGAGAAATCTGTTATTATCAAGTAAACTGCAAAAAGATTCACAATATGAGTTTAGTAAAACTGTAAAAGCCATTAAAGAATAAGACCTCCGAGTGCAACCAGTTTGAAATGATCAACATACAGGATAGTTAGAGACGGATTGTTGCTGAAGTCAGATGGAAATGGTCCACTAAAGTTATTATATCCCAAGTCCAAAACCTCCAGCTCCATTAACTCTGCAATCTCTTTTGGAATGTTTCCAGAAAAAGAATTATTGCGCAAAATACTGCATTAAAGAGGCACTGGATAATTCAGAGTAATGCCTTGAAGCAAAAGGTTTAAAAAAGAGAGAGATTAAAATAAACCATTGGAGTGCTTTTGTTGGACTAGCAACCAGTTTTGTTCTTACATAGATTTTATGTAAGCCAGCTTCCCTAGTTCAGGGGCCAATGTTCCTCCAAGACAAAGATCTTTCAAATTCCTGCAAGTTGATGAAATCTGACTTTAGGCTATCGAAACCGTGATTTAATATAAGAGATGGAAGAGTTTCTACATTGATAGGATGAAATCCATAGCACATACACATTAACTTTAAGGCTAATAATACCATATATATGATATTCAAATATATAGAAATTCAAAGTTGACAAAGAAAAATTTGTAAAAATTCATGCTTTCCAAACAATTTTCAAGCTTCAAGCAAAAACCATGTTGAAAAAAAATCTTATTAGATGATCTTCACATGAAACCCCCACTTCAAATCAACTTGGTAAATCAATGCAGAAATACTTCTTCACGGTGTAGAATGAACCCACATTTATTAATCAGCCAATCAGCAATAAACACTAACAAATTTAGAAAAACCATTTTTCTAGTTTGGCACAGAAGAACTTATGATTTAAGAGTTGTCTGGTTCAATTCAACCAAAACAAGATGCAGAAGCAAAAAGCAAACATAAATGATCTAAGAAAACATGAGACTTAGCAGCAAATGCCACTCACAAAATGACCACTTTTCCATCCGAGCACTCTACCCCAAACCAAGAACAAGGGTCGTCTTCTCCACCATCCTTGTTCCAATTTGACAAAGCCCCGTAAGGGTCTCTGACCACTCTGTCCCTGAACCTCAGCAAGGCCAAACCTGCACCCAAAAACAAAAACCATTAAGCAAAAACCATCAAGCAGCTGATTGAGAACTGTACGGACGTGCAGAAGAAGTAAATGTACGAACCTTCAACGTTGAGAGACCAACATGGGCTTAGAAGATGATGAAACAGTAGAAGAAACACCATCACCATCACCACCACCACACCCATCCGGTGCTCCTCTAACCCATCAAATCTCCACCGTCGATTCATTTCCTACGAGAACCAAGATCAAAATTTCCAAACTTGAATATTTATATATTTACACATTTATATACAGAGAAACAGAGGTTGTGGGAGTCTCTGCACTGCAAGGTAATTTGGACAGCCGAAGAAGAAACCGCGTGTATCAGAGACTTTTTTAAATGATTTAGAATTTTAGGAAGTTCCTTTTTTTATTTAACGTTGGACCGAAAACGTACCGAAACGGGAACCGAAATATCGTGGAAGTTGAATGTTTCGCTCCGCGGCAATTCAGCAACG